TTAGTTATATGACTTAATGTCATATATTGTTTTCAAGAAAGAAAAAAAGATATTCAGAAAAAAATGATAACTATTGTTTAGGGTCAATTTTATCTTGTCTCATAAGTTGGTGAACCATTTCATATGTTATTTGATCATTTTCCTTGGCAATAGTGATGACTTTTTTTAGAAAAATCGAGGACATTGTGATATATTTGCGTTTCATGCTAGAAATAAAACATATTAAATTATAACGAAGTCTATCTATTGGTAATCAATCTATGTTCGTCATGATATATTCAAATATGCCCATGCCCCTCCTTCTTATATTTTTGGTCGAGGTCTCAGCTTTGATCTAATTGGAAAAAATTTTCACATGTGCTCAAGATCGTTTGAGATGGGTAAATCTCCTTTTTTTTTTCTTTTGCATCTATCCTTTCTATTAAAAACAAGTCAAATTACATGATCGATATCTTTTCTATGAACTTTTCAACCATTTGATTGTGTGCAGGAGTACACAATTGATAAATGCAGACACACACACGTATATGAACATTTATATATACATCGGACTGAAAGACATGAATTTTTTTCAGAATCGATTGCGGACAAGGTCAAATTAAAATGTGAGAAGAACAATGTTCAGTGCGTTTTCCATGGAAGTTATACAACGGAGTGAAAAATTATTGGTTCACCTCTATTAGGTCATCGCTTTTTCCTCACGATTCAAGATCGGAATCAATTAAATAGTTCCATTATATACCTTTGTGCAATAGATCATGGTTAATTTGTAAAAAATCACTTCTGACTAGGTCTTTTTTTTATTTTTATTTTTAAGAACTTTCATTCGGTTATGATGAATTTTCATGACAAAAAAATTAATCGTCTAGTTTCAAACAATTCTGCATCAATTTCTAAATTAAGTTAATTAGGCTCACACCCAATTCGACAAATCAAAAGATTAGTTAACTTTTCTGAATGAAACTAATGAGGTCTTTGTTTAATTATAAATATTCTTCTTGTTAAGAAGAAACCTCATCAAAACCGATTGGCAAAATCTAATCGTCCCCAGCTGAAAATCCTGTGAACGTTCATAGTACGTACAGGACTAGGCTTGGTCATGATCCTCATGATACGTAATCGGAAACCAGTTTAAGCAAACTTTTGCTGAAACAAAAAAATTGAAGGCAAATTTTCTAAACTTCTTTAGGCTTCAAAGTGAAAAATATTATTCCATGCATTGTAGTTATGCGAAAGTAGACGAGCTTTCGTTGCCTTTATAAATAACAGATGTTTGAAGAGAGAACGACACGTAATAAATGTAAAAATTGTTTCCTAAGTTGTGTATTATGTCATACTTGTTGACTGTTTCTATTGAAAATATTCATATGCATTTCACAAAAAAAATTTCGAATCATAATCATATTAATAGTCGAATCCTTTCCATAACCTATGTTTTGTTCAAATTCAGAAGAATTCCAATAGATCATATCATATTGTGTCATGAAATATTTTTGTTTTTCTTCCTTAAAAATTATATGTGTCACACATCTTACGCAAGTTTTTCTTTCGCAATATCTGCAAGAAAAAATGTATATAATAATCTGATACTGAGTTATTTCAAAACAAGTTGATTTGTGAATGGATTGGTTTTTTGAAAAATATGCCATGGAAACCCGTGTATAAAAATAAGAAAGAATTCAAATCTGAACGGAAATTAGTTCTTCTTTTGGGTGGTTCTATTTATGATGATAGTGCTGATGTTCAAATTATTAATCGACGTCATCGTGGAGACGAACGTTTTCGTACAAAAAAAGATGTTCACTTAGAAGAACATTTATGGCAACGAGATTTTCATGCAATAACTGATTATTTCGAACGAACAAATGCTACGATTTGGCGTTGTGTTCCTACACGTCTTCATAGTTCTCGAAATGAAGCAATGAATTTAATAAATGAATTCTTTCAGCTTGATAGTAATGATATCAATCATGAACGAAGAACATTTGTTCTTTATTGGTGTGGTCATGGAACTAAAAATACAGGTAATTGGGGATTTTCATATGGTGGTGAAATAACTTGTCATGATATTATCAATGCTTGGCGTTCTCGTCCAATAGCTGAAGAATACAATGATATATCATCATTAACAATTATTGCTGATACATGTTATTCAGGCGCATGGATTGATATACTTAAAACTGAACAAATTCCACGTTTTGCGTATCAGGCAGCATGTCGAACTGATGAAGCTGCTTATGTTGTTGATGATGGTAATATTCCAAGAAGTTTACTAATGCGTAAATTTATTATTGAACAAAAATATCCTATTCAATGGTATTTATGGTCATGTACTGATCAACATCCAATGCATTTATGTGATTATGCTGAAATAGAACATGGTCAAGATTTTAGTGCTGGTCAACGACGAACATTAGTTCATGGTGGTCCATATTATTTTTTTACTGTTGATCGACATTGGACAACAAATGGTAAAATGTCAACTAAAGAATGTAAAACTGAATTGAAGAGACTAGCTGAATATGGTGTATTCATTGATAATTTTTGAAATCGGATATTTTGAATGTTTACTTTGTTATTTTTTTTTTGCTTGTTCTTTGTAATATGAGTTTGAATTTAATCTTATCAAATGATTTATTTTTCCGTTGACTTATTTTTCTTTGTAACACAAATATAGACATTCATTTTCATTGAATACAACGAAAACAATGATGGACAAACTTTATTTTATTCTTTTATTCGTTTTATTTACATATTCTTATGGGAAACCAGTAAAAGATACAGCAAAAAAGACATCAAAGGAAACACCACGTAAAGCACCAACAGTTAAAACAAATGTAGATGCACTGAAATATCTCGAGAAATTTGGTTATAATCAATGTGATCGTCCTGGAAGTACAAAAACAAAAAATAAAGGACCATTATGCCAATCAAGTTTTCAAACAATGATTGAATATTTTCAAACTGTTTTTCATTTACCTGTTACTGGTGAACTCGATGATGCAACTGTCAAATTGATGAATAGACCTCGATGTAGTTTGGGAGATCATCCAATGGCTTATTCTGCTTTTCGACCTTGGTAATCATTAAAATTGATTATAATTATTTAGTATTGTTTGTTATTTATTTTTATATAGGCCTAATACAACATTAAAATGGAAATTAAACAATGAAATACCAAAATTTGGAAAAGAAAAAACACGAGCACTTATTCGAGAAGCATTTAATGATTGGGCTCGTTATGCTCCATTAAAATTTCGTGAAGTATATGGCGATGAAAAAGCTGACTTTAGTATTAGTTTTCAAGAAGGTAATCATGATGATGGTTATCCTTTTGATGGTGCAGGTGGTACACTTGCCCATGCTTTTTTTCCAACAGATGGAAAAGTACATTTTGATTCAACAGAAGAGTGGACAGATAAGTAAATAAAATGAATATGAAAAAAAGAAAAGGATTTTCTAAAACTTATTCTAAATAGATATGATGGATTTGGTTTTAATTTTCGTTTGGTTGCTGCACATGAACTTGGTCATGCACTTGGTTTAGCACATTCATATGATCAAAAAGCATTAATGTATCCATTTTATCAATTAATTCAACCGAAAGATTTACTTCCAAAAGATGTATAAATCATCATAGAAATATTTCATAAATATTTTATTTTTATTCATATTAGGATCGAGATGGTATTCGTGCATTATATGGTGCAAATTCAAGTAATAAACCAACAACATTTGCTCCTACTACAGCTAGAACAACAATAACAAAAAAAACGACAACCTCTAGAGGTAGCAAGAATACCAAAACAACGACTAAAAAGCCCAAAACCACAACAGACCAAACACTATCGCATGATCGATGTGCACGTTATCTTGATGTTGTGCTCGGTGGTGGTCGAGATAAATGGTTATATACACTTGATTATGAACATGTTTGGCGGTATCATCCTGATTTTGATCGTTGGGATACACGTGGAATACCAATAACTGAAGTATTTCGGGGTGCTGAACCACATATGATGGCTGGCATTTTTTCTCCAAAAACGAGAAAAATTTATCTATTCAAAGGTTATCGTGTATGGCGATTCTCTTCTCCAAATTCACTTGATTATGGTTTTCCTCGACGAATTAATGGTACTGGTACTCCGTAAGTATTCGTCGATATACTTAAATCAAATTTTTATCTAATTTGTTTGATTAGGTTTAATCCAATAGCTGCTCTTTATGAAAAAGATCATATTTGGCTTTTAAAAGGTGGTATACTTTTTAAATTTGATGAAGATGATCTTCGATATGAATTTGAACCTCCACCACTACGTATCGAAGAACAATTTCGTGGTGTTCCAAAAAATGTTCGAACGGCATTTACTTATGATGGAAAACATTATTTTTTCACTGAACCTGATCGAAATGTATATGTTTATAATACAGAAACCGAACGTGTCGAACCCGGTTATCCAAAACCGATGGTAACAGGATGGTTTGCTTGTAAAGAACAATAAAGTAGAGGTCACTAGTTGTCAATTTATCTTTAATTATTCTTACTTATTCTTAATTATATCTAATTTAATTTAATCTAAATCAGTTTTTAAAATAAAAGCAAAAAAAAATCTATATAATTTCTTTTTTGTGGCAATAGCTACGGTTGCTATGAAATGAAACATCTGTCATGCCGTTAAGCATTTGAATGAAATAAACCGTTAATATAATTATTAATACTCGAATTTAAAGAATTATATTCAAAGTTTTACTAAACTATAATAATGCAGAATATTTGAATTTGACTTAATAGGATCTATTCAAGGTTACATATTATGAATTCTTCAGATTTTTTTCCTTGTTTTCAAAATAAACAAGAGAAACGAGATTGAGAAGTGAAAAAAAAAATAACGTTAACAACATGTTGTCAGACATCATTATATAAATTATAAAAGAATTTTTTTTAAAGATTCTTCACGTTTTTATTGTCTTCAATGACTATAGCCTCATCATTTCACACAATGTCAAATAGTTCCGGTTCATCATCAACAAATCCATTTCTTTTACCTAAAAATGATTTAACTATGGCTGATAGTCAATTAATTGATGTACTTTTACATGGTCAAAATAATGATAATAAAATTCAAATTTTTAATCGATGGTGTAAAAATTCACGGCATAATCGTTTATTAAATATAGTTGATGTTTCACAAAGACATGATATTTTATTATCATTTGTAAATACTCTTCAACAAACAACAAATACTGAATATCAATATAATTGTTTAAAATTTTTATCTGAACTTCAAGCAAATATTCATCATTATGATCAACGAATGTATCTTCCAGGTTAATAAATCTGATAATAAAATTTAAAAAAATACTTAATCTTAATTTTGTTTTTTCGTTTTTAAAATTTTTTCTTAGCAATTATACAATGTTTTTCATCGACATCTAATGATGTACAAATATTAACATCACAATTTTTAATTAAACAAATTAATACAACAGATGATATTCCAACATTTTTACATATATATACACAAGATGGTTTAAAATCTCCAAATATCCGAATATGTATTAAATCTATTGAAACATTAAATGATTTATTAACTAAAAGTCATTATCATGAAAATTTATCATCAATATTTGAAATACTTCTTCAATATTTCCAAGATAATAAATTTCGTTCAAATTATAATAATATTCTTATACGAGCAATTCAACATATGAAACGTATATTAGGTTTAGATTTATTAAATACTTATCTTGAATCATATTCACCATCATTAAAACGACTCTATAATACATATGTACCTGAAGAAATTAATAATGATGAAGAAACACCGAGAGCAACAGTACAAGTATCTCATATTAAAGATTCTAAAGGTATGATTATCTTAAATAAATTTCTTTCTTAAAAGAAATTATTGAAAATCAAGAAAAAGATATTCATTCTCATCGGATGTTGATTGTCAAGTAGAACTTGCTAAAGAAATTTTTTATAGAATTAACTTTGAGTATTCAGTATTTGTGTTAGTTCGATGATAGATTCACTTGTTCATCATAAAATTACTACGTTTAGACAATCATTCTAAGAAATATTTGCATCAAAGAGTCAAAATTTTGAAATAGAAAAAATAGTCATGATTGTAAAAAAAAAAAAAAAAAGAAGTGCGATTTCAATGTTTGGTAAAGCTCTTTAATGAATAACAGCTACGGATTCAAAAAGGGCATCAGTCATTACTCCTATAAATTGATGGTTACTTCAAAAATAAACAAAAGTCTGAAGTACTCAAAATAAAACAGTGGTGCAACTTTAATTTTAACAAGGACAATTTAAACGTCTGCCTTGAAGTTTTGAATGTTTTTTAAGAAAACTTATCAACACAGCCCCTTTGGGGATAAAATATGGAATTCATATGTGTTCTTTAGCCTTATTATAATAATAATACAAGATATGTTAAGTGAAAAATCTTTAGCAAACTATAGTTGTTTTTCAAGGATAATCGATCGTCAGAGAAAGCAGTACGTCTTATTTACTTTTACATTTCAAATAGAATTCTTTTTTTCCTTTTTTTTTTTTTTTTACTGACGCTCTGTTATTTGTTTGCCTTGTTGCTATTCGCTCATTGTTTTTCATTTTCGTATTTCATTTTTTTAAATTTAACATTATTATTTTTTTAACAATTATATTTCACTGGGCAAATAAATGTATGATACATATCAATCATATTTACAGCAGATCTCAACACCTTTTTTATATATTCTAAATAAACTCAGAAATATTGATATTAATTATTTTGCAAAATAAGAGTTCACATGATCTTTTGTTGATCATATGATGGCTGTGGCAAATCAATGCATAAATATCCATCATATACAATTTTATTGAAACAAGAAAAAAATATCTGTCATATTTAGAATATTCAGAAATGTTTTCCAGCTATTTAAATTTCGAGGACAGTTTTGAAATGTTCTAGAACGGTTTAAGTCTTATTGTTAATACTGCTCAGTGCCTTTTTTTGTTGCTAAAGAACTCTGTGTGAAAGGATTCTAACACCTGCTGTTTTCGGTTACTATGGAAACGTACGTAATGATCGTTTTCTTTTGTTCCTATCTATGTTGCTATGACAATGAAAGCTGTAAACTTCGAATTAAAACTTACACTAAGTTTTATAAAAGGCCTAGTCTTTCCACTCTAAACATGTATTGATGCAATGTGAATATCTTTTTTCCATAAAAAACAAAAAATCTATGGACAATATCATAGAAAAAGGGTTAATGTTCATTTTAGTTTTTTTTTAGTTGAGTGTGGAGCACCTGATCTAACTAGTTTGAAAATAGTCTCACTATCTCAGAAGATATAATTTAGAAATCGCTGTTCGCTCGCTAGAATTCTGTATCCAGCAGTGTGTCAGATTAACTCAGTGACTCTGAGCAGGTCATAGTCGTATTATTGTGTTATTAAAAATATGTATCTGTCTCGAGAAACAATGATAGATTAGAGAACTCATGTCTGAAAGCAATAGTACATTAAATATTAATAACATATCTTTTGACAAGTGTATTAAAAACAACAAAACTTATTGAATAATAATTGATAATACTAAGATTCTTTTCAATTTTTTTCTTAAACTTAATCTCGTTGTTATTTCGTTTCAATTTTCAAAATTTTATGCAAAATTTGTCTGTTTCTAATTTTTGTATATTTAATATTTAATAAAATTATTTCGTATATCAAAAAACAACTAGAATGAAATATGAAGATTTGTTATATAAAATCATTAAATGTTAGAAAATAAATATTTACTTATATTGTTAATTTAACTGAGACTATCTTTTATTTGCTTAAATTATCAAATGATTATTTAAATCTTAAATCATATAATTCAAAAAAAAAACTTTTTCTTGAACAAAAACTGTTAGCGCAATCTTTGTGGGATTAAAATGTGAAATACAATGTAGCTTCTGTTGCTAATCACAGCAAGATTGTTTCACTCAATCTATTTCAGGGTACATTTCTTCATCATCTTTTTACTTAATTCTCAAGAAATGTAATAAGAAAGTAGTTCATATAGTATAATGACAGGTTATTGATATACAGTCTACGGTCGCATATCAACAACGTCTGTCATAGTATCTGACCCGGGCTCGATTGAGTTCAGGTCAATTCTGTTACCAGCTTGACGGACTCTTGACATTGGAGAGAAGTGTTACTAAAACGTCTGTCACGGTCTGTCATGATCCATTTCTAATTTGTTTGTTACGTTTCTGATGATTCCATGCTAAAACGTTAGTGATGTCTATGAAGGAGTCCAAATTTCTACTTCTATACTTCGACATTCGTTTTAGATTGTGTTTCACAAAAAAAAAATTTTATTTATTAGTTTGTTTTTCTGTTTTTTTTTTCTTCTTCTAGGAACAAATGGTTTTCGTCCAAATGCTAATAATCATTCTGACAAGATACTCTCTACGCAAACACCCGCATTATCTGTTCAAAGAGAAAATTCTGATTTGCATTCTCTAATTGAAATTATACGTTCAAAATGGATATCATCAAATGAACCAGATCGTATTAATTATTTAGAACGTTTTCAAATTTCATATGATAAATATTTTCAAACAATTTGTTCACAATATCCTTCAACATCAGTTACAATTAATTCACAATTTTATCAAGTATTACATACATTTTTAGCATCTATACTTGATCTTTTATCTTACATAACATCAACTAATCTTGATTTATCAATTAAAATCAAACTTGTTTTATCAACATGTCTTGCATGGCTTATTAAACATGCACAAGAAAATTATTGTAAAAAAAATTATAAAACAATATGTATAATTTTTAAAAATATTCTTTTTAATGGACAATCAAATAATCGACAATTAGCAGTATGTTATTATTATTTTTATTCTGATTATTACAAAAAAAAAAATTATATTTGCTTTTTTTTTCCCATATAGAAATTCAGTGTTAGTATTATACTTTTACTTGAAAATTTTGTTCATCCACAATCAATTCTTAATGAATTAGTTGATGATCATTTTCAATATTATAATTATCGTATACAACTTGAATTACTTGCTATTGTAACAGCAACATTTTTAAAACATCGCCAACATAATTATGATAATACATCAAATTTAAATAAACATTTACTTCCAATGTTAATATCAAATCGTCGAGAATTACGACATGGAGCTATGGAATGTTTTACAGTTATATGTACTTATTTTAATACTTATAAACCATTAACATCAATTATAATTGAAAAAAATCAATCAATTAAATTAGTTTTATCATTAATTGAAAATTTATCATCTGATGCATTAAATGCATTTCGTTTTCGTTTACAACGTAATTTACTTCCATCATTAACTGATGAAGGAAATATTACACCCGGCTTAGTATGTGATTCAACAACAATGAATGATCCTGATGCTAAATTTATTTTACTTGTTAATAATAATAATAATAACTCAACTCAACCAGTACAATCTACAACTAGCCATGAAACAATATCAGTACAATCTCCATCATCAAAAATCCCGGCTAATAATAATAAATTACTTCAATTAGCAATGCCTCTTGTTGAGAAAAAGACAAATACAAATGATACAGTAAGATCGACTTTTATATATGCATATGTATCGAAAGGATTATGACTTATGATAGAATAGTTCGCGAATATTTACTAAGGTTCACATTTTGTATTTGCCGTCTGTACTTTCGAGCGGTTAATCAAACACTTGAGGCGCAACTGTGTTGATCACGTTTGATTCACGAGAGCTCGAATATACTATGTTTTAAGTAAATAGAAAATTTTGAAGAAAACGATGCTTATATCGATTGATGCTGATGATGAGCATTTACGTTTGTTAGATTTGAAAAAAAAAAAAAAGAAAAGTTCAGTTGAAAGTCCATCTGTCAAGGTCTGCTTTAGTCTTTAGTAACCTTCAGCATCCATTAAAATGTGGCATGATGTTGAAAAAAAGAAACTTCTTTTTTATTCAATCAATGCTACTTAAAACTTCCTTGGATCTATATGCTCATGCTGATATTGAATTTCTAATGTCCCAAGTACCTACGGATTTTTTTCAACGGATAATGAACCAAGTTTATGTTTATCTACCCTATAAATTCATACAACTGTCTCAATATTTTAGCAAAAAACTATTTTCATAGATTAATTTTCTATTAAAATATTATATTTCTTTTGCAAGACTAACCTAACTAAATATCCGTTAATGTTAGTGAGTGTTAATACACGAGATTTTTTAACATCAGATAAAGTATTTATTCAGTTAAGTAAAGAATTTTCAATAGTTTCTTCACAAGAGGATGTTTTCTATTGGTTAAGAGAAATGGGTACTTTTTTTTTTGTTTTTAATCAAATATAGTTCATCATGTATCATCTTTTTATAATTATGTCTTATCTTGAATCTAAAAGATCATATGTCAATACTTGAGTTTTCTTTGTTTTTTTTTCATTGTCGATTTTTCTTTGAAGTGAATTTCGAGGTAAATGTAATGGTCGAGAAATCAGCTGTTATACAGCTGACAACAGACGCCAATAAAATGATATTATCATTAGTAAAAGTTTCATAAAAAAGATAAAATACAAGAAAATAAACTAATTGAAATCATTTTTCTTCTTGCTTTCTACCTGTAATACATTAAAAAACGACTACAATCATCATCATCGTCATCAATATCATCATCATCATAATGAAAGAAACGAGAACTTCAACAAACGGAGAGTAGAAAGGAATAAAAAAAAAAAAAAGGGGAAACAAAGAACGAGATCTGTATGCATATAAAATTGCACGAGAAATGATGATTGAAATTTTTGCTTTCTCTTTCAACAACTGTTGTTTAACGGAGACGAGGTGCGCGCATGAACGAGTAAGAGTAACTAAAAGAATAAAGAAAAACAAATACTACAGCCTCCATCATCATCATCATCTCAAGAATTCTTTTATGTCTATTTTGTTGTAACTATTACCCGTAGAAAATTTTGTTTTGACAAGTGTATACATATATTATAAAAGATGCTCATGTTCGACGATGAAGATATTCTGTATTGGACTAGAAAACCTAAATTATTGGTAAGCTTAATATAAGATATTGTTTAAACAAATTGTAAACATAAAGGTCATTTTCATTGTGATATACGCACATGTACTTGAGAAGTATTTTGTAAGTTTTCTACGTTTATTCAGAATACATGAAAAAAAAAGTTCTTTTTTTTTTCATTTATAATGCTGCATACATCTACAGTCAGCATTACATACGAAATTTGATATACATCTTTTTCTTTTGTCGTTCTCTTTCTTTAACAATGGTATTGTTTTGTGGTTGAGTTTAAAGCAATGGTAAATGAAGTATGTTTCAATGTATAGATGATATTTATAAATACAATCTTTCTTTAAAATTTTGAAATGGTGTATAAAATAGGAAAAAAAAGAAATTAATGATTTTAGAATAGATGATTTGAAAAAGTTAGATATTGTAGAATTTCCTTTCAACTTCTTCAATTATTCTATTGAATTTACGCACATTTTTTTTAAATACTGAAGAAAAAACATTAACATTCAATTACATCTTGTTTTATTGTGACTGTCATAAGTTCATGTCAACCCCTGTTTTGACGTCGTATTCTTAAGATCGTAGAAAAAATATTCAAATCTCATTCTTTTGACGAATTAATTTTTGACTGTTATATGAAACACAATTATTAATGCTCGTTAGACTCTCTCATAAACTATGACAGACATGTTATTATCTATTATGGTCTATCATTTATTCCTTTTTCTTTTAATCCTATAAGACCTTTACTGACAGCTATTTTCACATATTCTAATTTTTAGGTCATGCGAAGTCGTGAAATACCTCCATTGAAGCCACCCAATGTTGATCTTGATTCACATCGATATACCAATAATAATCATTCGCATGAAACAGCCGTTAATCGTAAGTCATTTTGATTGTTGTTTCTTTTTTTTTCGTCCGTTGTTAATCATACTTGATTGTATTTGGCCTGAATATCTTTTATTACCCTCATTGCACATCAGGTCAGCAACGTCACCGACTATGTCGACGATTGAATTTGTTGACAAAACGTCAAACAGCAATCGGTAGTGTAGAAAAAGCAATAGTTTCCGCTTTTGTGAATTCTATTCTCTTTTTGTCTTCTTTATATTTATTACTTGAGCTCACCATCTGGTAGTACAACTAACCGAGTGCATTATAACATTTTTAAAATGAAAATAATTATTTTTTTAGAGCACTTGAACAACTATATATATATATATATTTATATATAAAGATATTTATGTGTCCTGCTGATTCCTTTTTTTCCTTAACAATATGAAACTTTATTGAAAGAAAAAAAAAGAAAAAAACTTAACATGATGATGGTAGAAAAAATATATTCATGATTAACTTTTGTTTTTTTTTTCGATTATATTTAGTTAAAAAGTAGATATATCTTTTTTTCTTGAATAGTTAATACAGATAATTGTTTTGAGTTTTGACTATTAATTGAACAAAAGAGAACAAAACAAAAACAGTGTGATTGTAATGATAAGCAAGCAAAATTTTCGGATTTTATATTTTAGCAACAGTTATTACAACTGTGACAACCGGTGGGCCACCGTTTGATTTTACTATAACTGGTAATAATAATTATCGTCCATTGACATTAACAGAAAGAGTATTTGGGGATGATTGGGCAAAAAAGTTATCAACAGCAAATAGTCATCGAAAGGAATCAACAAACACAGTTCAACAACAAGGTTTTTCTTTCATTCTGTTTTCAGTATTAATCAAACTAACGTTAATAGTGTCGAAAAAATAATAATAATAATATCTGTCGAATACATTTTTTTTAATTTAGTAAAGAGATTAAAATATTAGACACTAAGGTGTTTATACTAAAGTCACTGAATACTTAGAAAATATTCTAGAAATTATTCATTATATTTTTTATATTTCACGACTTGTGTGATTTAAGAAATTATCATAAATATCATTATTAATAATTTATTATTTCTATAGAAAATCAACATAATAATAATTTATTACAATTTCGTCCTGCAATACCACATCGTCCAACTATTGGTCGATTTCCTGCATCCCATAATATCTTAGTCACATCACAAATTCATAATCATAATGAACAAAAATTACCTGCACGTCATTTTGATTCGAATACTGATCATGATGAAGGTATTGTCGATAGTGCAATAGATTCAAGTTCTTTATCAAATAATATAATAAACGAAAGAATATTTGAGGTAAAATAAATTTTTTTATTTTTATTTAATAAATAATAAAACAAATATATTTATTTAGAACAATGGTCAACAAACGAAAAAACCTATTCGATCAGTACATAGTAGTTCAACAAGGCGTAAAGTTAATCGTTTATTTAATAATGGTAGTGATTTAGAATCAACATCAGCACGAATTTTAACACCAGAAAATAGCAACGAAAGTGGAGTTTATTCACAATCAGGACGTGATACTGAATATAATTCTAACAGTTCTACAAAGTATAATACAACAAATATATATATATATATATTATTTTATCTTATCGTATTTTCATAGATCATTTGGTAAAGATCCATTGTTTTCTACTAAACCACGTCTTGCTCGTTCTGGTTCAAAACCTAAACTTGATAAATCACAAGTATTACCTTCTGATCCATTATCAGGACAACATTCATTCAATGAAAAAACTCGTCGATCGAATAATTCCAATGTTGAAGTAGTTGGTCGAGCTTATACCGACGAAAAAAATTCAACGAGAAAATTATCTAATGAAACTATTGATGAAAAACAACAACCAATTGTAAATAAACCTCGAGCAAAAATAATTAAAGGTAATCAGATATTCTATTGTATGTAGTTTTTACAAATAATCTTTTACGTAAATGAATACTAAAAGAATTAGATGACAGTCAAGTTTTATTCGATTGCAAGATGTGATGCTTCAAATATCGATATTTTTCATAAAATGAATAATCATTTCTAAGGTTGACTGACCAAGTGACGAAATCGATTTCTGAAATTTAAACTTATGTTGTAGTAGGCATTAATGCTGCTATGTATTTACATTTAACTGTGCCTGCATTCTGTTTGTAAGCGACTAGTTATCTCTAGAAGTTCTATTTATATTCATTTTATATTATACAGTGATTTAATGTTATATTGTAACTTTATACTGCAGAGATTTCGCACTCTCTGAAGTTCCTTCTGCTTCAATATGACTAAACATCTACTCGTAATGTACTAAAAACTAACGGCTGGTGAATAATGCGATTGTTTCGCTGGACTTTTGTAGGAATTTTAATATACTATCGGATAGAGCATGTCATCAGTGAACTTTGGTGAATACGCAAAAGATGTGAACTTAAGCCCTTAGGAAGATACGGCATTCCAAATATAATTTTCGTCAAATGTCAGATAGACATATTCAAAAGTTAGTTGTGTAAAAAAGTAAATTTTTTGTGCCTATATTCATATCTTGCGACAGAAGTAACGAAAAAGGCTGAAACTTTCAGAATGAATTAGTTTCATTGATAACATTGTTTGTGTAACAGTTTCAAATCAAAAGTCAACTTCCAACGTGATCTGAGCGAGACTGCAGAATTTTGTTGAAAAATCTAACTTTTAGAAATTCTACGAGTAAAAGAGATTAGATAGCACAGATAATCAGTCTTACACTCTGCACTATCTTCCCTCCTAAATGTCCGACTTTCTGTGAAAATTGGTAATATTTTCTGTCAATGTTTTATAGTTTCATGGTAAATTTGGACAGCAGCTAGATTTTTAAATGCCATCAGTCTTTGTCTGACAGAAATTGTTTTTGCGAGGTGAATTGAATTAGAGCAAGCTATAGGAGGCAGACGATCCGGAAGCAGGTGAGGCCAAGTCACAATTCTAGGGCATCAAATTTGAAATAGTCAACAAATAAAGCAGCGCTGCTACGGTAATTTGAAACTTTTATAAACGGTGAAATTCAAAAGAGTTACTGGTCGATTTAACTTTATTAATCAGAGCCTAGACAAAATTAGATAAACATCAGTTTGTTATTTTAATAGTAATCATTCTTTTTTCCGTCAATTCAGAATCAGAAAAATCTCATTTTTGATATTTTTCATCAAACCCATCTCTAACGAAAGTGACGGTGTTCGTTTAAAAACTCCCGCAAAAGTTCAGTATCTCTGCAGCAATAAGCAAAGGGCACGAACTCTCTTACAAGTATTCATAGCTCATTTTATTCTACATAATGCATATAGTATCAGTCCAACAGCGATTTATCAGTTGTAGAATTTCTCTCGTAGAAGAACTTTATTAATACATATGAAGATATTTCTAATGAATACTATTGGTTGATTGGTTGATTATCAATTATCAGCTGTTTTGGTAGTTGACTCTTCTTCGTGTGTTCATTTTAATTAGGGATAATAACTAATCTAAGAAAAAAGAAAAAAGAAAGAAGGAAATATTTATCTATTTATAGGTAAATTAGAAGAAAAAATACCGGAAGCTATCTTATCTAATATAGATGATGAGATCAAGCTAAAGAACACTGTAATTGTAGAATAATTCAGAAACTATAGTACAAAAAAACAACGACAGTATCAGGTGCATATCTAATTTGTACTTGATCAGGATCTTATCAAATATTCAAAAAGAAAAATATAGATCGAACAGAATTCATCTTCTTTTGAAAAAAAAAACAAAAACTAAATGATGCGTTGAAGTAGAAAACAAGATTTTTTTAAATTTTTCTAAGCAACTAGGATAATGTTAATTTTATTGTATTGTATTTGATCAATCGAACAGAATATCAAAGATAGATATATAGTACTGTTTTAACGCATTTTGTTAAGCACATCTTTCTATTAATAAAATCAGTTATTTTGTAGTTTACTTGTTCCTTCTGTAAGAATTGCCCTAGCAACTTTTCTTTGAATAATAAACTTTACACTTTTTTGCTCTACTTAAGTCTAACATACGATAAAAATTCATGATTAATGTAAGGTGTCTTTGTTTATAATAACTTATTATTATCTTGTTTTTAATCAAAAACTAGAAAATCTTGTCATCCACTAGAAGAAGAAGAAACAAAAAAAAAATATCAGTTCTTTTTTTTTTCTTACTTTTACTTTTTCTAATGGGAGTTTCTTTTTCTTTTGAAAAATGAAACAGACTATGAAAACATTTTTAAACACTATATTAGTCTTTACATATTAAAATATTTTTCTTTTTTGCATCTAGGTTCTGTAGTTGTTAATCCTTCAAATACAACAACACAAGCAAACATTAACATGGACGATGGATCATCTAATCATGATGATGGTCAAGATATTGGAGTTATTGGAAAAGGTAAATTATTAAACAAAAAAATAATAATATTTTAATTGATGTATACTATATGTTATAATATTTAAGCTGTTCCTATGCCATTACGTACCAACGCTGAAACGGATATAATTCGAGTGCAAAATAATAATACAATCAATAATAAATTGAATAAACAAAGTGATAATCTCGATACATTGTCCGATGAATTCGATAGTGACTCAAAAGAAAACGACAATGTAAGTTTGTTTACAATAAATGAAAATGTAGAATAAAGAAAAATGATATTGGAAATTTTCTGATATTCAGTTAATGTAAAGTCAATTATTCATTCATTTATGCTCTAAATAATTTTTCCAATATTTACAATTATTGAATTTGATTTGCTTCAATACACATTTACAAAAAATATTTTATCAATAATATAGAAGATTTTAAATTATAGTCATATATTCATTTATTAATTAAAAGCTGTTAGCACAATCCCTGCAGGATTCAAATGTGAAATACGATGCTGTTGCTGTTACTAGACACAAGGAGATGGTTTTGTCGTATCTATTTTTGAGATACATTTCTTTTACTTAGTCCTCATGAAATGCAATTAGGAAGTAATTCATATATTATAACGACCAGTGCAAAAGTAATGCATTAATTTTGTTTTGAGTATAGCGTGACATCAAATTATCATAGAGACTTAATAGTTTGCGTATTAAGTAGAAAGAGCAAAGTGTCTACTACAAACCTACGCAAAAAAATATATTGTTCAAAATATCTACCAAATGCTAAAAAAAATATTTAAGAACATGTTAGACTAGAAAAGTTCTCGATATGTTTCGATTTATTATACAAAACAGAATATTAGACACCATGAGAAAATCAAGTTTTTAATAAAACTATTTCCTAGAAAACCTGTGGTGATTTTGAAAGCCAAGTACACGACAAATCGATCAAATACTTTTCTCATTACTAATTTTTGTGTGAAGTTGCAAAGTACTTTGGAGTCTTCGATAAGCATTTTGAACAAAATATCTTTACATAGTTTTGTAATGGAGACTTTACTTTTTCTAACAAGAAAACTACGAAATCATTACGACAAGTTGTTGTCATGTTATATAGTAAACAAAATAATACAGAAATTTTGCATCAAATTTATTAGAATTACGTCGAGTAGAGTTCAAGGCCTTCAAAAAAAAGCTGAATTTCAGTTTTGAGATTAAAGAATTCAGTATACATGTATAATATTGTTTTGTTTAAGTATTAAAATATGTGGCATTGTTAATCTCAATAATTTCAATAGTGAAAATTTCTTCAAACAAATTTAATAGTTTTGTATCTATCTGATGGTTTAACGGTTTCAGATACATGTGAAATTTTGATAACCGAGCCGACTCTATTTTTTCTCATTATTAGTAATCGGCACCACGATTCCAGTTCCAGATAACTTTGGGAACTGCTGAATTCTACCATCAAGTCCAAAAATTTCAGATCTAGATTCGCTTGGAACTGACACCAAGCCGATTGACTCTATCTGTTATACGACCTATAATCGTACAGGGTGTCTCATAATTATAAGACCCCCTACTAAATTTCCACAAAAATAAAGATTTCCTTAACTAAAGAGGGTTTCATTTCCAATCTAACGTCATACCTAAAGACATCTAGCACTACTCTATCATATACCATATTAGTTTCAATTTAGTCAATTACCATTAATGAATAAATTTTAATAATTTCAAATCAATGCGTCTCATAATTATAAGACCCCCCTCCNAACGAATGCGAGAGGAGCTCCCTGGAACAAGATGGCAACGAATGGGTTTCTTGTTATGGAAACTGGGTGAAAATGACAAGGCTGAACAAGTTTACACGATGCTACTCCAGCAGGCATCCAACGAGAGCGATACATCTTACTCTTATAACGAGCTTGGAGCGATCAAGGGCAGCCAAGGAGACTACAAAAAAGCAATCGAGTTTTATGAAAAATCACTTGATATCAAGGAAAAATCTCTCCCTTCAAATCATCCCTACTTGGCTATTTTCTACAATAACATCGGTTCGGCATATGATCAAATGGACGAGTACGCAAAAGTACTTTCATTTTTCGAAAAAGTAGTTGATATATTCAAAAAAAACATTTCCTCCGAATCATTCCGACTTGGCAACTTACTACAACAACACTGGATCAGTGTATGATAACATGGGCGAGTACACGAAAGCTTTTTCGTTTTACGAGAAATCAGTCAATATCAGAGCAAAAACTCTCCCCTCGAATCATCCAGACTTGGCTGCTTCCTACAACAACATCGGTTTAGCGTATAAAAACATGGGAGAATACTCGAAAGCACTTCCATTTTACGAAAAAAGATCTTGAGATCAGCCAAAAAAGCTCTTCCTCCGAATCATCCCTCCTTGGCTAACTTCATCGATGTGAAGCTAGAACGGCGAGTAGCTATCACGACGCATTTAGGTAAACCTAAAATCCTGAATACTTGGACTTTTGGGGGCAGGCTCTGGGTGCGAATGGTTGTGTACACGTTGCTGAGCACCCTCACCCAACTTCCGTCCATACAACGTCCAGCGTTACAGATTTCAAGCCCACCTAAATCCGTCGTGCTAGCTTCACGTCGATGGCTACTTCCTACAACAGCGTCGATTTGGTGTACGATAACATGGACGAGTACTCGAAAGCACTTGAATTTTACGAAAAATCACTCGATATTCGTCAAAAATCTCTTCCTCCAACACATCCGGATATCGCACAATCGAAAAGAAACATTGAACTTGTGAAAGAAAACATTTAATTGATTTTTTTCTGCTACAAAAAATGTCGTTCAACGTTTGCTTATTATGATTAGCAATTGACTTTTTTTCTTCATTGTATTTCTATTTATGAGCAGGGATGACCAGAGCTGGTGTCATTGTGAAATGTAGATTTTCTCTTCAGCCACATCCACATCTCGTCCTACTCATTCCACATTCCAGAGTTGGAAAATGAATTAATAAAACTTAACGCCATAGTAGTTATAGTTATACTTTTACATATTATATAAAATAATGGAACAGTTTAACAATAACTTATCTTTTTTATTTTATAATATTAAACACCTAGCTCAAATTCAGGTACTGACTTTAATTACAAAATGAAATTTTCGAACTAATACATTTTTTAACAAGATGTCATGAATGAACTATGATGACAAAGTATCCAACAAATCTGATACAGTAGTTTTTAGGCCTCATAATAGTTTGTTGAAGCTATTGTTTATCAATGTCATTTTAAAGAGAATAAAATGGAGGGTCGCTGCATTTTCTACGACTTTCCTTTAGAAAGTCAAAGGTGTTACTTAGGTGCTTAACATTATAGGAAAAAATGAAAAATATGTTGTTTTTAAACTTTTCTTCCACTACCTTATGAACCAAGATAAATTCGAAGACAAGTAAACGTCAATATAAAATATACTACTAAAAAAATCTTAGCTCAAAGATTTCTTAGCTTTAACTAGACTTCAATTAAAATTGAACATAACTTAATAGAAATATGTATAAGATCAGTTATTTTATTCCTATCTTTTCTAATTTTTAAGAAGTCTCTTGAATTTTTCCTAAACCTCGATATATATAGATAACAGACATTTGCAAAGTTCTATGGCATGAACTATTTATGTAGAAAAAAGTATGTATTTTGTAATAATACTTTTATCAAATAAATTGTTTCAAATTTTTCAAACTTCTTTTTTGTGTTTTATATAATGCTCTAGTACTAATGCACATTTTAAGTGAAGAATTAATGGTTGACTTGATTAATTGATTCCCTAAGTTTAGGTCATTTTCGCATAGCGCAGACAATTTCAACAAAGTGCAATAATTTGCTGCTGAAACAAAACAATTGATATCATGTGTTGATTGCTATTTATGATGCTTCCGTGATAATAACCAGTCACTCATTCTTTATCATAACTGGGACAGTGCCGACAACTCATCGTGCCAATGATACAATATTGACAAAATTGTCTCCAAAGTTACAGATCAGAACAACATGCAGTTGTATTTTGTTATATTCAAGGACAATATCTTTTCTTCAAGAAACATGTTGACGTAAATTTTTGATGAGGTATTGGAAAGTCATGCTTTAGTGGAGGATATGGGTTGATATTCTTTCGCTTACGTTATAGAACCTTTGTCTCATTATTTTTTTGCCGCTATATAATACCATGCATTAATGGAGAAAAAACCAAGCGAATAGAATTACAACGGTTGGCCGTAACAAAGTCGAGAAGTGTTTTAGAAAATTTAGACTAGCCACGAACACTCATTATTATATGGAATAATACTAATATTCTAACAGGTAGCATACATAAGTCAATAGATGAGAAGAAAAAAAATTTAGAGTGTCAGTTTTTTCCGTTTAGAAACTGTAAATGATAAGCCATCTAAGTATTCACGATTTTGGTTGCGTTAAATCTGATGAAAATGGAGCAGCTATAGCCATGACAATAAAATTTTACTTATATAATAGTTCTTTGTTCCACTCTATTAGTTAATCTATATCAAGTATTATTCATCGTCATTACTATTGGTCACAAATCTAACCTAGTAGAATCAGAAGAAAAACAAGAATCAACTACTGGTACTTGAAGTCATCATCTATTGGAGACACACTTTGTTCGATATTTTTCTAGTACACTACTGAATCTAGTATACTTAATAAAATTGTCATTGGCAATGATGAAAAACTATTGCAGTTTTATCAAAAAACATTCTATAATCGAAAACATGATGTTAAAGAGAAAATTGTTTGTGTACTTTGAATATATTTTCTGAAGTCTCGTATATAATTATGTTGTCACATACATAATCAAACTACTATTCTATTTATAACAAGTAAATTTTTAGCAAAACAGATCATTAATCGAAATAACTAGCAGACTTCTTTTAAACACTCTAACATGTTTTTAAATGAAATTGAAAGGAATAATATAGTTATTCTACCTCTTATTATTGTATAAGAGAAATGAAATACAGATCTCTTCTTCCAACTATTTTGTTCGTTCTAGATGCTCTTTCAGACATTTTCGAATAAACTCAATGATGAAAAACTTCGCAGACAGTTTTCAAATAAAGTTATATAAATATCATTTATTTATTCATATACATTTACATGTCACCAATTATAAATGCTACTAATCAATTTATAATAAGTTAATAGACAAAGTATAAAAACTAGCACTAATTTTAATATCATACTCCAAATAAAATTTTACTAAAAATGTGTTATGAAATAAAACAGGTACTCAAAGATTTTCTTTACATTGTGTATTACTTTTTCTTTTATCTATTAAAAAAAAAACAATTTTTCTCGCAGCTCAAACATTATTTTCAAATCATTTCTCTTAAATAGTTTCAATCATTAAAAGAATTGAATTGTTTTTATCATCAACAATTCTGCATTCATTCGAGTATCTTATTACATATATCAAACAATTTAATATATAATTACGAAAATGCTTAAACTGTTATATGTATATAAATATATGATATATAAACATTTAAGAAGGTTATCAAAATAAGTAAAAATGAAAAGAAAATGAATAACTATGAAAACTCGTAAGCTTGCGGTTTGTGTGCACCAGCACATGCTTGTAATAATGCAATAATATTGTCTTCTGATAATTCCTCTTGAGAATTAGCATATATCTGAATATGATAACCATTAAAAAATCGTTCAAAATCATGTTTATGCATAGAAGCACGAGCAGCACGTAATGTTGGCTAAATAAAATGATATTTAATATCATTATTTAAAAAATAAAACATAAAACCATGCTTACCACAGTGACTCCAACATAATTTACATATACAAACTTTGCTCGTTGACTTCCAAAATCATCGACTGCTCGAACACGAATAACACCAACATACATTTGATTATCACGAAGTTTTTTTTTCATTTCAGTTAATCCACCTGAACCTTTGCCACAAAGTATAACTTCACCATTATCAGTATAAGTTAATAAAATCCTATAGAAAAAAAAAACACAAAAATAAACACATTTATTTAAGAAATTAATAAATTTCAATTCATACCAATTGGTTTCTGCTGCATCATTTCGAACATCTTGCCAAGCTTGTTGAATATCTTTATTACTTAAATCAATTATACGTTTTAATGCTGCCATAAAAACCTGTGCTTGTAAAAAATGCCAGTGCAGTTTCTTCTAGTTGCATTGATGAATCATATAGTTAAACGAAGGAAAAAAAGGGTAGAAGATAATCTGGTGCGCATCGTCTTACATCCAAAATAGATAACCTTTTTTGTCTCCTTATTTAGCATACGATGGTTGTCTTGTATGGTATAAGAAAGAAAGAAAAAATAGAAAAATAGCAACCAACACTCAACAGACTATGATTGATATTGTTGTTAATGATAATGAAGCGTGTAATATCATTCATCTTGCTTTAATGATGATAACTGTCATGAACTGCTTATATATTTCATTTGAAAATCAAATAAAAGAAACAATACGAATTATGGGGAAAAGTGCTATTGAATTCAAAGAAAAAAGTAATTTTTATTTCGTTCTTTCTTTTACTCGATAAATATTTATTGCGTTCATGTAAAAAATATTTTCGACAAAAACTCTTCTTCCAATTTATCTTAATGATTGATATTGAACAATTTTCATAACCTAGAATTTACTCTCTTTTTCCACTGCTAAACATTTTTTAGTTTTAAACACACATGAGTTCAGAACAATATAATCCTTTTGACAATACAATCGAACAAATGTTTTCTAAATATAACTAGAAACAATCTGAAAAAAACGTTTGAGTAGCTATAAGAATTCTCTATCAGAATTGATGGACTTAAAAACTCCAATACAACTGCTTAGATGAGGATGTCTAGAAAATCAAGACCTCCAAAAACAGTTTTCTAGCATCCATTTGAAGCTTTATGGAAAAATTTCGCCTTGTTTAACACGATGGAGCCTTCTTTAATTTGAATGCAGTTCAATGAAGAAAGCCGAGACATCTCATTTTGCTCTATCAAATAAAATCATTTCCAAAAAGCTTCAAATGGATGCCAGAAAACTAGTTTTCCAGACATCCTCATCCAAGCAGTTTTGTTCGTATTTCTTGACTCATCAATCCTGATCGAAAATCGTTTTAGTTACTCAAAAATACAACTGCTTTAAATTTATATCTATCTCTATATATATATGTCAGATCCAAAACAACGGCACTATAAACGATATAAAACAGTGTAAACTGTTTTCCGTAAGCTTGTAAAACGGACAGTAGGATTACGATGAAAACTAATTCGATGATACCTCACTTCTGACAGTCGAAATGATCACCCTAGAATATTTATTCGTCAGAAAAAAAACAATAATTATTTCAAATTACGAATGTATACAATCAAAGAACTTTGTGAATAGATTAATGATGATATAAACTGGACTATTTATATATATATATATTAGCAATGAAATTGAAGGAAGTTTCACATTTTTAATGAAATTTTTTATTTAATTTCTTTTTTTCCTTCAAAATACACAAAAGGGTTTTTATGCGTCACTCGATATTTGATATTTCAATGCACCACTGTAACGAGCTTGAAATTTAGCATAAGCAGTTTTTGAAAAGAGGCATTTTAAACGTATAAATTGTGGATCATGTTCATCAACAATCATATTTTCAATTGTACATATATTATCATTAACAAGTACTTGATAAAATTGTCCTCCTTGTAATACACGATATTCACATGTAACGCGATCACTTGCAATCATAAGTTTCTTTTGTAGTGTATCAGTAAGTTGATCAAGACCTTGACCAGTTTTACATGAAATATATAATCTATTATGATTTTCAATATTAACATCTTGTATTGGTTTTTGTGAAAGTATTTTTTCTTCTTCTTCGTCTTCTTGCTCTTCTTCAACTTCATTATTATCTTGTTCATCAATTTGTTGATCTTCGGATGTTTGTTGATTTAATAAATCAAATTTATTAAAAACAGTAATCATTGATTCAAGTTTTGATGAAGGAATATTAAGTTCACGTAAAGTTTGTATCACTATTTTATGTTGTACAACATAATCAGGATGACTTATATCACAAACATGAATTATTAAATGAGCATCTATAGCATCATTCAATGTTGCACGAAAAGCTTCAATTAATGTTGTTGGAATATCAGCTATATGAATAGAACAACATTGCCAATCAATTAAACAAATTAAGAATTATTTACCAATAAAGCCAACTGTATCCACATATAGTACATTTAATGCATTTGGTAAAACACCAGCATGTATAGTTACATCTAGCGAAGAAGAAAAAATGAAATTAAACAACTTGAAAAATAAGACTATCTCAGAGATGATGTTATGATTTTTCTATTGTCTACTCATGTTGTACATTTATTCGCACTATCGCCGATATACCGGCGGCTTGAATCACATGAATATTATTATTCTATTTCTCTACTGTTTGGTTATCATTGGCATACCTAATGTAGCGAATAATTGATTTTTTGGTTGTAATGAAGCATCCTTTGTTAATGCTTTGATTAATGATGTTTTTCCAGCATTTGTATATCCAACAACAGCAACAGTAGGTATATCAATAGATAAACGACGTTTTTTTAATAATTTTCGATGTTGTTCAAGTTTAGCTACTTCAGCACGAAGATTTCGTTCGCGATCCTTTGAAATTCCAATAACTAAGATTTCCCTATTATTTATATAATATTTCTTACTTTAAATAATTCAGAATCATTTTTACGATATCTTAATAATGGAATTTCAGCTAGAGCAACTTGTAATTTAGCTGCACCACTTTGTGCATGATTTTTAAAGATCTATTCAATAGAAATTTTGCTTAAAACATTTAGTTTTTACGAAAATTCAAAAAAATTTTACTTGAAGCACAATTGAATATCTATCATAAACAGGTAGACAAAATTTTTCTGTAAGTCCATCAATTTGTACAAGTGAAAGACGATCAATTGAAACAAAAACCGCTGTTGCTTGACATTCATGAATTTCATTTGTTATTTTTTCAATATTACCTTTACCATATAAATAACGTTGAGAACCACTTGTTTTTAATGTATATATTCCATGGCCAACAACACTCCATTTATTTAATGTTTCAATAAGTGATATTGATTCAGATAATTGTAATTGAGCAGTTGTTGATTGACGACCACGAGCTTTAAATCTCATTGATGGTTGAATTATATAAACATGATGACCAGCAGAACGTATATGAAGTAATGCAGATGACATTGAAGTAAATTCATTATCATTAATAAGACTTTGTAAATGACGATCAATAAATTCTTTTGTATATAAACGAGATGTATGAGAAAATGTTCGCATAGAAGATTTTATGAAAGATAAATGATTAAAAATTTTTTTAAATAACATTTTATATTTAATCTGCAATTTTTTATTTTCTTGAAATAAATTTATGTTCATCAAATAGTTCTACTTTTCTTTTTTATTATTTTAAACAAAACATTAACAATCATTTATATGATAATCAAATCAATTTAGTTTTAAGATTAAATGAGTAATTCAATTGTTATCAATTGTCATTGAATATGTTTGGTATAATAACATCGAAGAACATAAAATTGATTTTGAGGCTTTTCAAAAATAAATTCCACCGAAATGGAGATCATTATTTATATTACTGCATCTCTATTCGTTAATCGGCATCATACCAAGTACGTAGTTTCAGTTAATGAATAAACGCAACTTTATCCTCATATGACATTCAATCAAAGTAATATGTATCGATTTTGTAGAACTGTCAGTTATCTAATGATAGAAAGAATAAAACGTTCTTTGTTAAAAAAAAAACATGAAACTCACGCATATTCTCTAGAAGTAAATCATTAGCATTTTAATCTATGAAACCAGGATACCATGAATATTTGTATATTATAAAATAGAATTGATCAATGTGTCTTGATGAAATCAGGTTATTAAACATTTTTGGATTGCGTTTAGTCGAAGAATGAAATATTTCTCATTTCATGTAAAAATTTAGAATGAGAACTGACCAAATTATGAATCCCTATCTAAAATAAAGGGGTGATTGATTGAGGTCTAGTGGATGTATGTGCAGTTTAAGCACATTTTCTCACTGAAGTATATACAAAAGCGAAACTTTTTCAAACAATTATTAAGAATAAAGAAGAAAAAGTAGACGTTTTTCATTTGAAAAAATGCCTGTCGATCATTAAAAAAACACATTTTTTTCGTTTTTCTTAAAAGCCCATTTGTCTATCTTGGAAATAAAGTATTCTTTTTTTTATATGCAGTAACTTGTACTACATAAACTCTACTTTCTGAGATAAGTGTTAAACAATGTGTTTATCAACAGCAACAGATATTCTATACATCATACTTCTATTAACAGACTAATAGTTAATTCCGAATAAATATTCTATATGATGAAATGAGAGATGCTTCAAGTGCAGTTTAAACACATAATCAAATTCAATTATGATATTGTGTACATTAATCAATGCATTTAAATTTTACTAGTACTCTAGCATGGCTAGATTTCATATAGAAAGGTCTTTGTACAATCATTGGTTCGAATTATAACCATAGATATAATCATCGCATGTTAAACTAAAAACTACTAAGGTGTCGCTATTCAACATTATTTCGCTATTTCTTTATCAATAAGATCTTTATTAAAATGCTATTCACTGTCAATCTTTAAAAGACGATTGATATTTATTCAGTAGATGCATTCACGGATGAATTTTTCAAAGGTAAGTCGGCTGCTGTGTATACCTCATTTTAAGATATACGTTATACAACAAATATGGATACACTCTTTCAACAAATTGATACTGAAATGAATCTATCTAAAACAGCTTTTATTACTCAAGGAAAAAATTCCCTTTCAAATAACCGATATTTTCTTCAATGATTTACACTAACAAATAAAGTTGATTTATGTGGTCATGCAGCATTAGCTACAGTTCATATTCTGTTCGAGCAAATATTCAATAATTCATCTTTCAATGAATTTATTTTCGATATGAAACATACTGGAGAATTAAAAGTTACAAATCTCTACTAATCAAGATCATTTAAAACTTAATGTTCCTATAGATGATCCTCAATCAGTTGAATTTGGTAATCAAATATTAGATGACTTCAAATTAAAATTAAATGTATTATCTCAACATAAACATTTTTAGCTATTCAATTATTGATTCATCTTTCAACAATCGATGATAATATAAAACCACAACAAAATCTTACTGAAATCGATTTTGGTCAAATAATAAATCCATTTATGACGTGGTATTATTATTACAAACAGTTCAACAACAACAGATTTTGTTTCTCGTTTTTTCTTTCTTTATGAAATGGTGTTCTTGATGATCCAGGTACTAGTCGTGCTCATACAGTACTTGCTGTTTATTGGTCCTGAATATTAAATAATAAATCAACTATACATGGTTATCAAAAAAGTATTCGAGTTGGTTATGTTGATTGTGAGTTAGATGAACATAATCAATGTGTTTTATTACCAGGATCGACTTTACTGTAATGCATTATCAATGTTATCTTCAACATGATCAATTCAATTTTTTGAAAAAAAACTTGTCAGTGTGGCCACATAAGATACTGGAATGTGAAACTCACAAATTCTGACTGTTATAAATTTATGTTATATAGTCATTCCTTGTAAAAAAAACTGCCTAATAAATGACTAAATCAAAATTGTAATATTTTTTATAGTAGATATGCGCTCTCTGAAATTTTGTCATTTCGAAAATCTTTGTATTTAGAATTACTATTCTAACAATTTATTTGTTTGATTTAACATCGTTATACTTTAGAAACTTATTTATATTCTCAGATATTTTTCAATACATGATTTGTTTTCTTCTAATGTTAATATATACGACGCATACCATAGCAACGAACGCATATCAATGTATTCTTCGTTTCGTCGCTTCAGCTACCATATTAACCTGCTATATGCATTGATTTAATCATTCAGTGAGCTTCCGAGTACATTATCTCTTCTTTCGACGAGCTTTCACACACACTGTTGACTTTTGCCTAAACTTATAATTCAATTAGTTCATACTTTTCTATGTCCGTTTCATTCTGACTCTGCTAGATAAATAATATCATTATCTTACTGATTGACATATACAGTAAGATTCTTTCATTGCATTAAAACCAAAATCCTCAATATCTGGAATACATCGAACCTACAGAGTTTCAGAATGATTTAAGCACTATTATTACTTATATATATATATATATATCTATATATTGTCTTGCGCCTTGCTCATTGCCGTCTATTAGAACAATAAAGCATACAATCATATTATTTTCCTATCAGACGATGATAAATGCCTGATAATTCTTATTGTTCTTTCAACCTAAAAGTTTCTCTTTTTGCTCATATATATTGTATCCATTCGTGTGATCATTAATGAATGTGTTATTCTGTTTATTTTGCATCGAATGTTTTCGAACAAATAACACAATGGTTCTAATAAGTTTGAATAAAATATTAGAAACCTATTAATGAAAAATTTGTGACAAGTCATAAAAATTCTTTAATATGTTTAATTGTTCCTAATAATACGAAATAATTATAGAAAGTTAAAAATAATATTATTTTTGTTTTTCTTTCTATTCATCTATGAATTGAAAACCATCAATGAATATTTTAGGCATCTATAGAGAAAGTAACAAACAAATGCATTTTTTTATTCATTTTTCAATGAGTCCTTTCATCAGTTTATTTAAAGTTGTGAAACAAGCTTGAACAACATACATTTTAATCAAACAATAAGATAAAGAAAAAAAAAGAAACTAATGACTTTGTTTATAGGCTTTTCTTTGCAATGTTTCTATTTTTCATTTTTTGACATATCTATGTTATGTGACTTTCCTTGTTTTTTTTATTCAAGGCGTTTTAATTTATTATCTCCGAAACAATGGAAAAGTTCCTCATAATCTATTGTATTTGAATGATGTATTCAGAATTTTACCATTAATTCTTGGCAATACAGTAAGATACGGGAAAATTCGAAAGTGAAATACAATAAAATGTATTGATGTCATTGGGTTTTTCAATGAGGGTGTGGGTGTTGAGAGACTAACACCCGCATCTATGCTCTCACTTTGTGCTGTGCGTGATTGCTTTACGTATGTGTATTGTGTAGAAAAACCCTTTTCGCAATGCATCAGTTTGATTGTCGATTGTTCCGACGATAAAAAAGAATGTAAAACTAGCAAAGAAAGGAGACAATAAATTGAAAGGCCATGGTTATTATCTTTATTACTCGTAAACTATACTTGTTAAAGTGCATTATCTTGTGAATAAATTTTATATTTATTTGAGCTGTTATACAAAACAAAGTAACTAACATTTCTCGAGCGAGGTGTGGGTGTGATTTTGAGATTGTTCATAGGTAACTACCCAACCACACTCACGTTCATATTCATTATTGCCTTCGGTGATGCCGAAGTCTCTTAAGAATACTTGTTATCGGTTACTTGCATAAGGAAGTAGAGCTTTTTTCTTTACCAAGGACGAAAATCGCAGATCTTAAAAAATAAGAATTGAGCTAATCTTCTACAGAATTGAGACAACAATTCGAAGGACACCTTTTCTTCTATTGTTGATCGTCAGGTTACCTCAATGAAATCTTAGCAGAATTGCTAGAGAGTTAATTAAGAAAGTGTGAGGGTGGGTCTTCTCTTCAACCACACTCTCACCCCAACACGTTCTACACTTTATTCCAAGTCAAATCGAAAATGAATGAGTCTGATATTATTTCGCCACACAACAGCAGGTTCCCTTAGTTAATGATACAAAATTTCGCTTTTTCCTTGCACTATATTTATCCGATAGTTTCGTGATTAAGTTTTATTTTACTCAAAAGAGACGTCCGATACTGATGAAATCTGAACCTTCTTCAAGATAAAAACTAAGAAATATTCTTTTCGTTCACTTCTTTTTATTGGTTTGCGATCTAAACTTTGCTCGCTATCCAAGAATGATATTCGATATAAAGACTACACTTCAGCTATATGCTTTATTGATAATTGGAGGGTGTGGGTAAAATGAATTCAAACATCGACACCGTGTATATAACCATTGATAGCATCTTTGTTCCTCGATGTAGAACCAGATACAAAGCCATGAGAGCCGACTGCTGTTTCGGTAGGAGAAAATTCTTCATTATTCGTATATCAACCTTTTAGGGCAATACATTTGAGATATCTACTAATGATATTGTATGAATTACTGACTTGCACTGTTGCTGAAATAAAATTGCATGTTGTCAGAATTGATAAAGCTGCTTCAATTTCGCCTGTTTATATTTAGCGACTATAATCTTTATCTTCACAAAGGATGAAAGTATTGTCACACTTGTTTTCATGTATTTCTCTCGCGTTTCTTTCTTTCTTTCTATCTCGTTTTGTCGATGTCAAGACAAGGCAATCGAAGAACGACGAGAAACAACAAAAAATAGTCATCATAGAAATAAAAAGAATATCAACACCACATATTACATCACATCACTGCAATCAATCTCTGCTGGTTGAAAGATAGACAATAGATGATGATAAACATCCTAGTGATCTGTCTTGCTCTTCTCATTGGCAATCTTCGATTTGTGGTATGTCAACAGACGAATTATAATTGTGCTGTAAAAGAATCTCAAGCCAATACAACAGAAAAATTGTCGCAACTACGGGCTCGAATGAAAAGTCTTAGTTTGTATGCATACATTATCTTCTCTGAAGATGAACATCGAAGTGAATACGTGCAACAGCAGGACACACGGCGAGCATGGATAACAGGGTTTTTGGGCCCGGTCAGATCTGCTGTTGTTACACTTGATCATGCTGCACTGTGGATCGATGATCAATATTGGGCACAAGCTGAAAACGAACTCGATTGTGCCAACTGGCTTCTCATGCGGCAAGGTGAACCGGGTGTACTAGAACTTAGTGACTGGGTAGCCAGTAAGTTGAAAGCTACATCATCGTACAATAAGGTGGGGGTTGCTGTTCAATTCACTTCGTCTGACTATTGGTCGTCGATGGAAAGTGCTATAACCCTACGAGGTATGCCCTTCGTCGAAGTAGCTGAATTAATCGATCAAATCCGGATAATCGATCGATCAATGGCTGCAAGCAATCCAGTTTTTGTTCATGATATAATGTTTGCTGGCATAAGCTGGGAAAAGAAAGTGGAAATCATTGCTGCACAAATCAATGCGGAATCAACGGATGGATTTTTAGTAATAGCACTCGACGAAATTGCTTGGCTATTCAACGTACGTGGTTCCGATATTCTATATAGTCCATTCTTCAAAGTACAGTTATATGTCTTCCTTGTTGATTCAATTAAGGATGTGTTCTTCATAGGCTTACGCATTCGTATATGCCAATCAAACGACTCGTCTCTGGATGAATGAATCCCAATTGACGCCGGATGCGAGAACACAGTTGGGGAACGTCATCATTCAGCCTTATGAGGAGTTTTTACCCGATCTATATAAACTAGTCAATAATAGCGATATGAATAGGATATGGATGACTCCATTTGTATCACAAGAAATTTTAGATAGAATTCCTGCTAATAAGCGTCTCATTGCAGGTACTTGGTCTTCATCAGCACCACAGTAATTGTTATACATTCTGTTTGGTATTCATTTAGGCTCACCGGTACAACGTACAAAAGCCGTCAAAAATCCGACCGAACAAAAGGGCATGCGTGATTGTGGTGTTCGGGATAGTGTAGCACGTGTACGCCATTTGATGTGGCTAGAAAATGAGATAAAAAACAATCGTCAAGTCAACGAAACACAAGCAGCAGAACGACTGGAATATTATCAATCACTAGAAACTTACTTCAAAGAAATCAGTTTTCTTACTATTTCGGCAGTTGGTGCCCATGCGGCAACAATTCATTTTCAGCCCAATGCCGAAACAGCAGCTCAGATTACCAAAGATAAAGTGTATCTACTAGATGCTGGTGCACAATATCTGGATGGTACGACGGATGTCACCCGAACACACACATTTGGCACACCGACTGCCGAAGAGAAGAAAGCATACACACTAGTTTTACAGGGTAAACACTAGAAAGTAGTGTTTTGATTTATGAATATTTTCTTTTTCGAAGGATCCATTGACCTGGCCGATGCCATTTTTCCCGTTGGAACCTACGGTCGACAGCTTGATATTCTAGCTCGCCAATCTCTTTATAAGAACTTTATGGATTACGCTCATAGTACAGGACATGGCATTGGTCATTTTCTTTCAATTCACGAAGGTCCTTCGTTTATTGGAATGGGCTACAGTTCTCTTGATATACCTTTAACGGATGGTATGGTGTTTTCGGATGAACCTGGCTTCTATTTGCCGAATTCATTCGGCATTCGTCTTGAAACTGATATTATTGTCAAGAATTACACGTTGCCAAACAATTATATGAATTCAACAATTCAGCTTCTTCACTTTGAACCACTCACATTCGTGCCATTTGATCTCAATCTAATCATATGTGAGATGTTGACTAAAGCTCAGTTGAGTTGGCTGAATTGGTATCATGGAGAAGTCAGGAGTACACTCGAGGCCACACATCGACTGAACTCTGACGAATTGAACTATCTGACCGAGGCAACGCAACCAATCAGTTGCTAAAACATCGTTAGATCTAATAATCGTGCTTTTTTGTTTCTGAATAAAAGCATTGCGTGCCTTGTACATTCTTCCATGGAAATGCTCTGATCATTGGGCTAGTGTTAAGAGACAAGTACCATTGGAATTTTCGATTCAGAACTGACCAGTAAGAGAAAAATTTCTACAATCTATGCTGTACTATTTGCGCAACCTCAAATCGAATCATTGTTATCGAATTCAAGATGCCTAGAGCAAACAGAATCTTATAAAGTCTGCTGAGTTTTTGAAAGATCTATCACAATCGAAAGTAGTAGCATTTGCTATTCTTACACTATATCGTATAGAATACTAGCTAATGAAAATAATCCTTTGTCATTGAGGATTTGAGTTAAATGAAACTAACTACACATCCTTTTTCGTGGATTACTTCGTGTTTTTCTTCCAAAGCTTCGCAACATCTCGGTGGAGCAGAGCACATTAGGCATCAGTTAGCCGTTCTAATCATAGCGACATTGTGAAATGTAAAATATCGAATAGAACATGCTGACACACCTTTAACAAAGTATATTTCCCTGCTATAGAAATTACAAAGAGACATAGAGCGTTCGATGTGTCAAGTTCCACTCATATTTCAGTTGAAAGAACACAGTTTTTTTGGTATAAAGACAGGAAGAGAAGGCAAGAGTATACACTACACACTTGCTTATTTTTCATTCGAAAAGAGCTATATACGATCATTTTCTTCCATTGAGTGCAATTCGTGAGTAGAAACGGTGAGTATCGACACAAAGTGTTTCATGTCTCATTCGCAAGTTTTCTTCGCTGCTATGTATATCGAAACCCCATCGATATTTCTTTTCACTCTAATCTGAAATTCCAGTTCCGATCCAATGATCTTCCAATCATCATCTCTAACTGAAGACCTAGTTCTTGAAAAGAAGCTAGAATCATTTAATATTTTGCTCTTCAATAGATAATGGTGTTAGAGCTCCTTCCATGACAGATTATCAGATAGACGTCAATAAACAAAACAGATATTGATAGTCGTGTCCTGCAAAAACAAAATTAGTCAATCAATATTGATATCAACTTATTGGTAACAATCTGTTGAAAATTATCCAGCAATAAAAATTCTTGCTGTTGCATTTTTTTTTGTCTTAAAAAGCACTTAAACGCGAGTGATATGCGTTTCGGTTTCACATAGGGTAGTGCTTATAACTTTTGGTTTTAGACGTAAGCAATAGCAGAAATCTGTTTTCTATCCAAATTCGAATTATTTATTAGAAAGAATTCTAATTAACCGAGACGAAAACAGATTTAGAATATGCTTCATTGATAAAAATGTTTTTCAACGTTATCTATAATAAAAACTTACCTCATAACTGGAGCCGATTTATGCTCTGTTGCTAGTACAAATGCCTCAGACACATCAACATTATCGGAGTGCAGCGAAAACACCTCAATACTGTCATTATTAATAGACTTATAATATACTCACTCGTTTTGATACAACACTTTTTAAAAAAAGTCGGCAGTAGTCTGTTAGTAATTATCAAATTGGTTCAGAACTATCGAAATCTCGACAACCTTTAGTAATAGCTGTGACTAGCTTTGAATACTCAATCAGTAACTTTTGTTAGCTTTCATCGAATCAAAAAATCAAGATATCTCAAATGGTTGAAATTGACTATTAAAAACAAAGTAAATCTTAGACAAATTCCAGTTAATTCCGAAAATGTTTATTCTCTATTCAATGAATTCTGACCACAACTTTGGATAATGTTGATAGAAAGAGTTGATAGGGACTAATGTTATCTATACAGAAAAAGATCATCTTTGGCATAATGTTCCAGAAATTGCTACATGCTTGTCAGAGATGCCCATGGCAGCGCTGTCGCATCTTCATCGGGACGGCAACAGCTGTTCTTCTAAAGAGATTGTAAAATTGTATGGATTTGAATCCAATATAAGTGTCTACGGATTTAACAGTCAGAATCGTGGCGAATCTGATGGATTCAATTTAACTGTGCTTTAATGTAGCACAGTGACAGGACGAATCTTCGAATAATTTCTAAAAAACCGTTGCGGTAGCGATGAACATTTCTGTAACATATTCACGAAGATCAAACACAATGCTGAGTAATGAGTATTTATGTCATCCTAGATTTAAAATAAAAAAACTTGTTTAGTTTACATCGCGCTTCAGAATTCTGTTGCCAGATTACAAGTTAGCTGCATTTATGCATATTCATTCATTGATGAATAATTTTCAAAAATCGTTTATGAAAACTTATATTCTTAATCGATTTTTGAATTTTTTCTTTCATTCTTTCCGTAAACATTTAATTACATATCGCAAAATTTATTTATTTATGCAATTTATTTTGATTCGTATAAAAGTAAAAATTGGATTAAATGCTTTAGAAAAATGTATGACAGTAAATAATTCTACCTACTCTATTTACTCTAGCGAACATTTTTTTTTCTAATAAAATAAAAATTAAAGAAAAGTAAAACTTCTATTTTTTATCGTTTTCTAAATCACTGTTAAATAATAAGCTTATAAAATGAATGAAAATCTATACAAAAATCAGTAAGAAAAAGTGTCTCAAGCCATATAAAAGCAATCACATAACACTGTATGATGAAGAATAACTCGATTAATTCAAATAATAATGATAATATATTATTCTTATTCGTATTTATATACGAGTGTCCAACATTTGTGGATGCCATGAGTTAGCATGATCAGTCTAAAACATTTAAAAAAAAAGAAATTCTTTCATTTTCATTTCATAATAAAAATTCCTACTGGATGAAATGCATCTATTGTCATTTGTTGTCGAGATTTTACAGATGTATTTTGAATATTTTCTTGTAGATAATTAATGTCAAACGATAATTCTTGTTCGCATAATGTTGGCATATCGTTTTGATCATATCGACAATAACATTTTGACCATAAAACTATATTAAATATACGCCAATCAACATAAAGATCGGAATGAAATTTTTGTGGTGATTCAATAAGATCATATTCAAATTGTTCACCATTGACTGGTAATAATTCGTGTGTTGATGATGATGAAACATCAAGTATGAAATTAATTGGTTTTGGTGATTCTAAACGATAACTAGTTCGATTTACAGCCCGTCGAAGAAATGAATTTTCTTTTGATGATAAATTGTGTTTTGATTCATTTGCTTGTTGATGAGAAAGAGATAATTTTGGTGAAGACAATATATATGTAGGATTTTTTAATAAACGACATGTATGCGGATAAAGATAAAGAGAAAAATCAAATGATGATAAAAATAAAATATTTCTTGGACAATTCTGTAATGCATAAAGACGTTCAAGGACTGAATTAAAAACAAATGTGTGATGATAACAATAACAAATACTACGATAAAGTTCAAGTAAAAAATATTCAGTAAATTCAAATGAAAATGGATTTTGATTAATTAATTGATGAATACAATCAAGAAAGAGAAGAAAAACTGGTGCCTGAAAGAAAAAGAAAATAAATTCAATAGAAATTTATTAGCAAAAAATAAAAAACAAACTTCTTGAGCATTATTTCCATTTGCATCAAAAACAACTTGTCCAAAACGCTCACGAAATGGATGACCACGACTAAGCCATTCACGAACAATTAATTCACAAAAGCCTTTGATTGTACGACATTTAGGTCGAAGAAATATTTGAATCAATGATGACAATAAACAAGTATTATCGATATCACTTCCTATTTTTTGAAAAAGAAACAAATTTGAAATAGTTCATGGAGAATCTACTATTATTCTTGAATTCAATATGAATAGTTAGGCACTAGTTCCAGTTCAACTAGATATTGAATCAACTGGATGCCCGCTAGAGATAGAGACGGTCTGGATTTTTGACGATCGGTACTGGTATTAGTCTGAGTAGATCGGACCTGCTGGTTTATCGGCAACTCCTAGTGTGGTCAACTGCCAATGAAATTTTATTTTATATAACAAAAACAGGAAAGTAAATAAGATAGATCGACCAATAACCGATATTGGTTTCATCTCTGATATCCGCTAGCCAAGATACCAATTCTACTGGGACTGGAATATATTTAACAAAGAAAAATTATTTTCCATATTTAATGAGGTTCTATTGAAAATAAAAAGATTTTGAAAATGAAAATTTGACAACTGATTAAAAATACAACATAAATTGCTTTGCTTTGTATGGAAAAAGTCCAATACGAAAATAAGTTAGAAATGTCACAAAATATTTCTGATATTTTTTAAAAATATAAAACAAATTTGTATCAATAGATATGTAATAATGCCATGTTAAGTAACTAAACTGATTTCGATCACCTACTAGTTCCTTACACATCTGCACAGAAATTAGATGGAATGGAATGATGAGAAAAGCTGTCATACACTTATGTCACTGTACCCAGCCAAACAAAAATTTTGAAAAACGCGTTTAAACGCACAATCGGCAACCGCGATTGTAAGCCATTAACTCTCATTAAAAGAACGCACGAAAACGCGTTTGTTGGCGTTTTTTGTAACTTTATGGGCGTTAAAACGGCGAAAACTCCAATTTTGGAGCGTTAAAACGTATTATTTTTAAGTTCTAGAATAATAGTGCGTTTTAACGCTCAAAAACGGGAATTGTCGCCGTTTTAACGCCCATGAAGTTACAAAAAACGCCAATAAACGCGTTTTCGTGCGTTTTTTTAATGNAATAGGTGTTTTTCGCTCACAGTCGGGAACCGCGATTGTGAGCGAAAAACGTCCACTTTTTTTATTTTTAAAACACTTTTTCATGCATTTAAACGCGTTTTTGAAAAAGTTTGTCTGCTTGGGTAATGGAGCAAAATATCCCATTTGATAGATGTACAAATGAATTCTTTTACATTTTAATGCCTCTATTGACATTGTAATACATTCACTTAAATTCAGCTAATCATCTTACAAGGATGAAAAGAAGCCCAGCAGATTTCAACATTTATAAACGTTCATAGTTTCAAATTACTACCAGCTAAAGTAAAATCTTTATCGAGCTATCATTATTTGCTTTCTCTCATTTTTCAAACAGATAGTTAATAAAACAGCAAATGTTTTTAAACGTCAAAAACACGCATTCTAACTCGTTAGAAAAATTCTTTTCTTTTTTGACGAAAAACACACGTAAGAAAACATTAGCTTTCAATATCTCGCCTTCTTTCTTATGAAAAAAGTAGTTTTTTTTACGGTTAAAAGCATCCATTTTTTCGTTCCGTGTTCGTTTGAATCATATGAATTTGATAATATGAGAAAAAGAACGAAACGACATAACATGGCGCATAGTTAAAAGTTTTTTTTTCTTCAATTGCATACCTTTCGCTGACAACAATATAGCATATCTGAATGACATCCGATATAGATAGATGATACGTTTTGTATGGTTTTTTTTGTTTCTTGAATCATTTATGTTTGAAGTACTATAGAATAACAATAAATATTTATCTCTGTATTTTGTCAATGAACAGACGATATCTTGTGAGTACAGATATATTTGACTGAAAACTTCAATCAGGCAGACTTAACGAACAAAGTAATCACTCGACAGTGAAAAATAGACAGAAAAAAGAATAAACACTTGAATAACAACGCTTTAATCATTTGTTTGCTTTCATTAAAAAAGAATCAACGTTTTGTCATGTATTTCTTTTCTCAATACGAACTGATTGGTACTGTAGTTTTTGTTTGACTAGTATTATTGTCTATCATACGTAATACATTGTAGCTTTTTTTTCACATATGAGAACGTATTGACGAGTATGGCCAATGCAGCTTTCAATCAATCATCGATTGTTAAAAAACAATTGCATATTCTTTTTTGGTCTGTTTTTTATTGTTGAATTTATTTATGTGACATTTTTAAAAATATCTAATTCCGATTCATGTGACATTCAACTTTCTACGTTAATAATACCGAAAAATAGTAATAAAAAAATCTTTGAACATATTCAACCATTCTATTATCCAGTATCGTGTCAAAATTTATTTGAAAGCGATCCGGACGAATTAAAACATGCACTTGCTCTCTTATCCAGTGCAAAATATTTACCTGTAATTGCTGATAATCAATATAACATAACATATGAACAATGCCATATCTATCGTTCAGAACGTTTTAATGAATCATTTCATCTCGAAGATACTTCAATTAATCGACAATTTCCATTAGCATTTAATATTCTCATGTATGAAAATGTTGAACAATTTGAACGTCTTTTACGTATTATATATCGTCCACAAAATTTTTATTGTATTCATGTTGATAGCGATGCATCATTGAATGTATTTGAAGGTGTAAAATCTATTGTACAATGTTTTAGTAATGTTTTTCTATCAAGTAAACGAGAAAAAGTTCTCTATGCAACATTTTCAAGATTACAAGCTGATCTAAATTGTATGCAAGATTTAATTAAATATCCATCATGGAAATATTTATTAAATATTGCGAATACAGAATTACCATTAAAAACAAATAGTGAATTAGTTAAAATATTATCAATTTATCGTGGATACAATGATATTGAAGGACGATGGAAAACAAGAATTATTTCACGAACTAAATATGTTTGGAAAATAATTAATACGACAAGTACTTCATATCTATCTCATTTACGGCAAACCAATGAAAACAAGAAACCACCACCAGGTAATATTGAAATTGTTAAAGGATCAGCATATGGTATGTCATTTTGTTTTTTCTATATAAAATCGATGATTATGGAAAGTTGTTTAAGGTGCTTTTTCTCGTGCATTTATTGAATTTATACAAACAAGTTCAATAGCAAAAGAACTATTAGATTGGTCGCGTGATACACTGACTCCCGACGAACATTATTGGGCAACATTGAACTATAATACACATTTGCATCCTCCTGGAGGTTATCAAGGCAAGTTTATATTTCTTCTATTCAAGATTGAGTCATACGAAATAAAATTAGTTTTCTTGCATTTGCAAAGCCACGCGTATACATTTTTTGCTGAGGATTTGGAGCATCTATTTGAGATGAGGTTTCGTTAGATACTTTCACCATCTAGCTACTGTACAGTCAGAAGTTCTAGGTTGCAAGACCAATACCACATCTGGGCAATTCCTGGAGTGCGAAAATACGTCGGATGTCGAGAAATCAATAATTCTTACGACATGAAAAATTCACTTCTACGATTTAGTACGAAACACTTCTCCCAAACATATTTTTTTCTGTCGATGTAGCTCGGAAATTTATATTTCGATCAATCAATTGACTGAAATCAACACAATGACGATTCATTATGTAATTATGCGTGTGAAAAATGAAAAAAAAAACGTATGTCAACAAAAACTCGCTTCGTCTCGGAGCTACGTGAAAACGAAAGAAACTTTTCTTTAAATATATGATAATCGATGTCATTCGTGCGTTCTTGAAAATTTATTTTTGTATTTAAACGAACATTTTCTGAATTTCTATTTTCGACATCATAAAATATGAACTTTTGATGCAGACGCCGCGAAAGCAATTAGATAGCACCTCGAAAACGTTTCAGTGTGAATTAAAGTACAAAATACTTTGGACATCCAGTTCTTTAATTTGGAATTATTTATATATTTGTCGCGTATAAGATTCAATTGAAAAACATTTCTATGAATGTCGATGTATACTCTTTATAGATATGTTTTGTTCCAGTTTATGAATCAAAAACTAAGGACCTATTCAACAGAAAACATCAGTGATCTTATTCGTTCCATAAAAGAATAATTTTTAATGTGCATATCTAACTACAGTAGAACTAAAAAAAACTCGTGACTAATCACTTCATCAATATTTCGCACTATATTAAAAAAGATCTGGAATAGTCAAAACTAATCTAAATTGATATCAGAAAAATGATGTCAACTTTAGTCTACCACATAGATAGATTATTTCGAATTCAAAAAATTAATAAAATATCGTTTATCATTGTCGTTTTAGCAAAAACTGATCCAACAGCATGGACAGCTCGTTTTGTTATTTGGGGTAAACGTGAATGTCATGGGCCTGTAGTACATGGTATTTGTATACTTAGTACAGCTGATTTACCAACTCTATATAATCGACATGAATTGTTTGCAAATAAATTTCATTTAAACGATGATCCAATTGTTTATCAATGTTTAGAAGAACTTCTAGTTAATAGATCTAAAGTTAATTTATTGTTAAAAGACGCAGCATTTTATCGTCGAATGCCATTTTTATTACCATCTTAATTTCTTTCTTTCTTGTAGTAGTGCTAAAATCTGTTATTTTTATTGACTTTATTTAGTCTATGATATAACCGGGCAGTAAGCAAAAAGATAAAATTTCCAGTAAAATTTTGATTTTTCAATATTAATATAATCAGATTTAAAATTAAATAATAAAAAAAGAGTCTAACCAACGCATCATCCATTAAATCGCGATAAAATAATTTAACTAAACAGTCTTAAATTTTACGTAATAATATTTATAAATATGAATATAGTTATCGGTTTGATTTGTATAATTTCCATTACGTGTGATTAATTCCTTTTGAGTCTGGATTGTTTACATCATCCTGATCATAAGAAGCTCTGAATACTCTGAAAAGAGTTTCGATTCTTAGTTTATTATTGCAGAAATAGTAACAACACGCTATAGTTCAAGTTAATGCAATGGTCCTCTTTGGGAACACCAGAAAAACTAATTTTCAAATTTACACTTGAAAATTTTGTACAGAGACAGGCTTTCAGCCTTTTGCGACAGGTTTCCTATATATAGGACGCTGACATTTTTCCTTTGATACAGGTACCAAATTGTGCTCTTGTACATATAGCATTCTTCTACGTTGTAACCAAAATACTTTAATTGTTGAAATATTCCAGATATTCAGTACTTGGTAAATGTTTTTTACAACTTGTGCTACCGCATTACGATCCTAGTCCATTGGGGGTACAACATTTCCACTTGATCAAAAAACATCAGCTTCAATACTCATGACAATATTCACTATAGTAAACCAACTTGAAAATGTCGATTGAAACAAAACAACAATGATGTTTCAAAATCAGATTTATCTTGTTCATCTTCAAGTTCATCACCAGATCATGATTGAGTTAATCTTGATAGGCTTTTTTTAGTTTATCTTATTTTTACTGCATATGGCATGTCTTCTCTTATGTTTCTTCTTTATTCAAGCATGCTTTAGCTCAAAATTGACTCAATTATATCCGAACACAGATCGAGTACCAACAAGAATTACGAAACTTATGCCAATGATTGGCGAAGAGCGGAAGTATTTGTCTATTCAATATTATTATTGTCAGTTGAAATCGAATTTTAAACATATATATTTTTGTAACAATGAAAATTTTTGTTTTATTTTCTTATATAAAGAGTTTATAACAAAAAAAAACCAATTCTTTATTCAGAAGAATCTTGTTTAAATCTTTTTGCAGGAACTTCTTCTTCGTTGTCTTCATTGTTTGTCTTTTCTGTTGACAACACTTCATCACTATTTTTCTTATCGAAAAGAACAATCCGCACACACATCATATCTTTATTTGGTGCAACTTGTCGAACAAATCGGCAAGATATTTGTTCATCATTAATATTCGGTAAAATTGATTTTAATCTCATTCGTATATCTTCATCACGATTATCAGCTTTTGAAAATGTATAACAATAAATATGAATAGGTAACGTCCATTGTTCTTTTTCTTCAATATTTGTTGATAACCATTCAGGCAAAACATCCAAAAATGTTAAAGCAATTTCTGGTAAATTCATTAAAATCACTATTTTATTATTTGATAAACACCAATTTTTTTCACTATCATTTTTCACTTCTTGCTGATAACTTTCTATACGTGGTAATACAATTGTTCGTAAAAATTCTCGTCCATCTAAATTGAATACATGATATTGATTTGAAGAATTTTTCGATTGATTATTTTTTAAATTTATAGTCATCCATTTAAAAGATTCAGGATTAATATCATTTCCATATACAGTACAGCCAAGCATTAAAGCTGGTACAACAAATGGTCCAACACCGGCAAATACATCAAAAACAAGATCATTATGATGAAGAATATTCACAATACGTTCACGTTCAGTACCTGAACAATGAATTCAAAAAAAGAAAAGATAGAAAAATATAAAATAAAATAAACTTACTTAATCGAGGATTCCAATAAACTTTAGCAAAATCAAATTGAAATGTTGCTTTACTTTCACGACATTTAACAACTGTATTCGGTTCACCAGCAACAATTTCCAATTCAAAATTACGATAAACAGAATCAATTTCATGTAATTTATTGACTACTGTTTTCACATTTGGTAGTTTGTCAAGAACAACTTGAGCTACAATTCTTACAAAAAATTATATATAAAGATATATGAAAATAACCAAAGATATTTGATCGTTTACTACGATATAGATAGACTAACAGTAGAGGTGCCCATCGCAGCTCAAAAACTGGAACGTATATGTGTAAGCCGATCCATTGATCGATAATGGTAACGGCTAAGGGCTTAATCGAGTTCGAGCTCAACCCTGAAAACTTTGAATCTGATGGGCTCTACTCGTTTGAGAAATGCGTAGGATACGTTTGTCACCAAACATCAAAATAAAGTTCGATCGAATTAAGGTTCGGATCCGAAAAATTTGAATCAACCAGATCTGGATCGGTATCCGAAGATTCCAAACTCGGTAGGCTCTTGATAGAACAAATGGGACTCAGGATTCAAAAATAGCTTGTTCTTCAGAGCTCAAGTAATGTCATACCCCCTACAAATTTAAGTTCAGTATCATAATTGCACTCACCAATAATATGTTTATATGGTAAAACCGCATCTTTCAAATTGAAATGTGCAATATGTCCAATAATACTATATCCCGAACCTGTATTAATCGGTTTATCTTTTCCTAAATCATCTGGTAAAATAGCTTTAATAACTTGATCAATTGTATAATTCGCATATGTTAATGTTATTGAAGTAAAATCAAATGATTCTTCAACATGTTCTTTTATTGATGGTACAGTTTTCATAATATCCTCTTTAGTTTTAATGACATCTGGATCAAATAAAACTTGTTTATGTGTTTTTGATATTGGTTGTAAATCACGAACATTTTTAAATGAATGTAATGTAAGTAAAGAATTTTTCCATTTCGATGATTGAATACATTCAACTGGAATATTCACATATGGAACCGTGATTATTTGTGTAAATTGATCACGATCCAATTTAGTCATACCTTTCAATGATGAAGGTAATTCTATATGCATATTACGCAATGATCGAATAAATTTATATGAAAATCTACACATTCATCTGTAATTTAAACAATAAAAAAAACAGATATTTCTTTTCAATATACTTGTATATTGTATCATAAACAATATCTTTGCTAAATTTATTTATCAATTAAAAGAAATAAAATCAAGGGAAATAACAGGTAAAAAAATAGCAGACGCACGTATACACAAAAATAAACAAAGAAAAAGAAATGGTTTGTTTAAGGTTCACTGGATCAATATAGAAATAAGTATAACCAGCGTAAAAAGAAAATCTATCTATATATATATATATATATGTATCATTCTCTCTATGATTGAGATCGTTTTTTATATGGTATTTGTGTTGGTGTTAATCCACGATTTTTTTTACGTCTTTCAATTAAATCTTCAACACGTGATGTTAAACGTCGAGATATTTTTAATGAATCATCTGGAATCTCTTGAATCCTTTTCTCGACAAATAATTGAGTATTTCTAAATAACAAAAGAAAAAAAGTCTTTCATTATTCATCTAATTCGAATAAAATCATTTTAAGAATAAATTAGTAATAAAAAAGACCCACATGCATTTATCTATATATCTTTGATAAAAAAAAGAAAGCAAGCTTCATCATGCAATCCAAAAGCTACCTGTCGACGATGTGTATTAGATGGTGATGTACCACGCGACGGCGACAAACCACTTTCGGCAGCCGCCAATAGAAAATCATCAGTAGAATCCGATCGTGTAGGAAAACGACGTGATGGTATACGAACAAAATATTGTGAACTTGACATCAGGTTTTGACTAGAAGTGAGTGTATCTTTGTTGGCTGATTCTCACTCGGGGATAGTTTATTTGTTTTTGAAAGTCTTTTTTTTTTCTTTCTGTAATAAATTATACTTACGATGTTTTAGCTACACGTGCGGCTTGTTCACGCCATACTCGAATTTCTTGAAGACAAGTCTTAAAAAAGAAAAAGAAATCAAATAGAAAAAACTTCGTAGAATTGGAAATATCTACCGAAAAAAAAGTACAAAATAATTTAAGATCAGTAAAAAATTCTGTAAGTGAATAATTTTTTGGATCAATAGCTAAGAAATCACATAAATTTTGATATGCATTTGTCATTTCTCGATCGAGTTGTTCCAATCGAGCAACATCATCATCAGCACGAATTATAAAATCCTCAAAATATAATTACAATAGAAAAAAAATAACATCAATTTTTTGTCTTAAAATTAAATTTACTTCAATAGCTTCAGCAAATCGATCTCCTTCAATTGGTTCTTCATTTTCTTTTGCAATAGCTAATTCTTCTCGAGCATTTTTTAATTCCCGATTGATTTCTTGTGGTTGTTTTTGAAGTTCAAGTATATTAACTAAAATTCATAATAGATTAAAAAGACAAAAAATATTCACTTGTGTGTGAAAAAAAATGAATTCACTTTTTGATACACCATCAGCAAGTAAATAAAATTCATCAGAAAATGAAAGTAAATCACGATGTTTATCTTCAATAGCTTGTACTATAAAATGAAGTAATGAACGACGACCATCATTTGCTTTTGTTGAATGTAACTAAATCAAGAAATTTATTTTTCAAATAAAAAAAAACAACAACAAAGAAAATTTCATTGAATTACTTTAGGTAAAAAACTAATATCAAATCCATGTATAGGTTCATAAGATTTTGCACTTGAATTCATATAGTTTCCAATTGTTAAAATTAGTTCGAGCATTTTTTTAAAACGTATTGAATGTCGAACATGATCACATGCATTCCGAACTTCGACAAATGCCTAATAAACTAAAAAAAGATAAATTTTTTTAAACAAATTTTACAAACTTTATCTGTTTCTTCTACTGTTTCTTTATAATTTGCTTTGAATAAAAGTGTTTTTAAACGTTGTTTTAATCGTTTTATATCACCGATCTATAAAGAAAATAATATTTAAAACAA